TCCTCTTCTCTAGGAACCATGATCTCAAAGCTCCCCAGTGCCCGTCATTAAGTTGCACGGGGTCATCCCTTCTCTTGTCGGGGTGCTCCCTCCTTGGACCTGCTCTCACGCTCACACTCTTTCCTCCCCTTCCCTGCCACATCCTTTCCAGAACCATCTGCTGTCTCCTATCCAGCATTTACACTGACTCGGGCCACCACTTCCCTTTAGACTCCCTTTTCTTCTCCCTGCCTCTCCTTCCTTCTTCTGTTGTTGTCTCTAATCAAGCCTTTGCCCTCAGGGCTTTATCTAGCTCACACTTCCTCCCCCTCTTTTATCCCATGCCTCCACTGCTTCTGTTTCACCTCCATCAGCCTTTAAGAAGCACCCTTGCCAACTGTCCTACGCCTCCCACTCCCTGATGATGCAGTCCTGATCCTCACTTTGCCCCCTTTCCGTCTTGGCCATGCTCCCCTCACAAGACCCATGTGCAGGTTTTAAGACCCTCCTCTCACTCTCCATCCCATTCTGCCTGCCCCCTCTGTAGTCCATCAGCTCCAGCCTCCCGACCCACAGACCCCCTTCTCCCACGGCCCCGCCCTCCCACTGCGTGCTCTCTCCCTCGGCCACTTTGCTGCCCACATTACCTTCTCGGACTAGACCTCTGACACCCCAGGGATTGTGTTGGTCCCCCTCTTTCCCAGCTTCCCTGTGTGGAGTCTCCAGCACACGTTAGACCTCCACTCTTTGCAACCCCCCTGGAATAGCACATGCATGAATTCAGTGATCGTTGCAAACTGTCACCTCTGCCTCGATTCCTGCTCACTCCTCCACTTCTAAGCATATCTGCTGCCCACCCGCTGGACTCCATCCGCATGCGTCCATACCCAGGTCCGAGATTACCTGCCAGTGGTTTCTGTGCAGGATCCATCTGAATGTGGCACACGGCCCTGTTCCCTCAGACTCACCCCGTCACTGGGTCCCCTTTCCCTGCGTGCTCCTGAGGGCCCCAGGCATTCAAACACCGAGGCCTGGGGTCTCTGCTCTGCTGTCTAGCCTCAGTACCGCATAAGCCTGTCCTCTGGCCCCTCAAGGTCGGCCGACAGCCCCAGACTGGGAGCTCTGCGTGTGGCCTTCCCCTTTTCCGCGGTGCCTCCTTGACTGTGCCTGAGCCCGAGGACCTGCATGAGCTTTTCTCCCCTCTTCCGTCCCTTTCTCTTCCCGCATGACTCGCTCCTGGGGACCACCATCTCACGGCTGCTCCAGACTCCACGAACTCCCTTTTCCTACTCTGGGTGTGGACTTGGACTGAGCCTTACTAGGCCCATCCTACCTTTTTCTTACACTCGTGTGTTTGGGAGCCCCTCTGCTCCATCTTCCACTGCTTCCCTGCCGCCTCTGCCAGTCACGCGACAGAGTCAGCGGTCCTTCCTTACATCTTCCCTTCTTGCCCTGCACTCATGCTTCCTCCGTTGCCATTCTCTCCATCCCAGTGTCCTGCCCGAAATCCGTAGCTGTCCCAAGTCACACCCAAGCACCCTTCCTTTTCTGGTCCACCATTTTGGAGATGGTCATTGCTTCTCTGGGCTTTTCTCTGACTTTCCATCATCTCATCCCACCATCCCAGGTTCCCTGCTGGCCTTACCCACATGGTGCTCTGCCTCCTGCATGGGGTTTGCCACAACTGTGGCCCACTTTTGGAGGCAGAACGTCTGTATTCTCCATATCCACTTCTCCTTCAGGCTCTCTGTAATCCCTCTCTCGATGCAGTACACACTCTGATCCTCTCAACAAGCCTCTCATTCTTTAGCTGCAAGGGCCCATCACCTGCCCATCCTCCCCCCGGACCACCTCTCCTCTGCCACACTCCCCCAGGTGGAGACGGCTCCCCTGATCTGCGTCCTGGCTCCTGCTTTGCCTCTCTTTCACATGCAGCACTTTCAGCTACTGTCTGTGAATCTTCCGGCCGGATTCAGCCCTCTTCTCTGCCGCCTCCTCCCTGCTCATTCTCCCATCCGCTGCTCAGCCCAGTCGGTCATCTTTGCTTCAGACACACTAGACTGAATCCAGGCTCCGCCCACCAGCCCGTGCTCGTGTCCTGTGAACCCAGGCTATGCTTCCTCCAGGCCCCGCCACATAACCTTTCATGTTTCCATTCAGACCCCTCTGTTTCACACTCTTCGAGCACAGCTCTTGGGGAACCCTTCCCCTGATTCTCCTGCCTTTATTCCTTTCATCACAGCACTTTTGCCTTTTGCCCTCCCCCTCTTGCCTCCTCACCTGCCAACCCCCACATCCCCTCCGCAGAGCCCTGGACACTGCCTCTGCCCTCCTTCTCTTTCCTCCCGGGCTGTCATCTCTCTCCCAGATGCTCCCCTTCAGTGTTGTCCCGTCTCTTCCACCCCTTCCTTTGCTGTGTACATCCCCTGTGGTGCCCTGCGCTCACGTGTGCACACCTAGCTTCCTTTCAGTTGCCACTCCCATCTCTCAGCCTTATACCACAAGCATCCTCAGCTCTGGGACCGAAAAGTTGGCACTTCACTCCTGGTCCATTGACGCTAATACAAGCCCACCCCCCATCATTCCAGAGGCCCTGTTGGCTACATCCATTTGCTCGCTGTCTGCCTGGTCCTGAGTCCTTTTCCTCCACGTCTCCCAGTCTTGACTCTGATGCCTGCATCTGCCCCCACTCAGCGGCTCACCTGCTCGTGCCCCCCCCCAACTGCCCAGCTCTCCACCTTGCCCCCCCCCCAGTGATTCTCACCCGAGGATGCATGACCCCCAAGGCTGGCCTATCAACATCACCTTTCAGGAATGTTTTTGTGTTTTCTGTTTGGATTTTTTTGGTTTTGTTTTTGTTTTGAGCAGAGCACTGCTCACCCTCAGATGTGTTGCTAGGCCTCCCTTGGGGTCCATGCCCACAGCCCTCCCTCGGGTGAAATTCACCCCCCCCACCCCCGGGAAGAATCACTGCTGTGCACCACCAGCCTGCCCCCCTGGGCTGCCCTCTCCCCTTGCCCGCCCCTGGCTTCCAGCAGTTGCCACTGACATTTGTT